TATGGACACCAGCAGGGAGTCGGCGATGCTGCTGGAAGTGTGCTCCACCCTCTGCTCATGTTTACGCGTGAGCCCTTGGTCCTGAGCACCCAATACTCCATCCCTTCCCTTTTGTTGTCTATATCAGTTTTTCTGCTGTGTCCCTCTCTGAGCTGGGGCACTGATGTGCCCAACATCCCTCCCACAAGGAAAACCAGTGAGGGCAGATCCAGGGCCAGCAGAGAACAAGCCTTTCCCTAGGGTGGCCTTCTGCAAGGAGCTGCATGGGTGCTCTTCAACACAAGTCTGCCTCCAGCCCATCCTGGTTAAGCAGACACCCGTGTGACCCTCCCCAAGCTCGATCCAGTCCAATTTCCCTTTTTGCAGCCTTCTTCTGTGCTCTAGGTTAATTGTCCTCAGCATGAGAAAGTTAAGTATTTCCTTTCTACTTGCTCTTTACAGGCCATGTTAAGGAAAAGAGAGCAACATACAGCTGCCCTTAATTGTGACTTGTGACAGGCCAAGCCTTATTTGCCACTCCTCAGGGCCAAGCTGGGCTCTGCTCATGGCCAGGATAAGGCAGTGGACAGACTAATGCCCAGGGACAGTTTTGAGGTCACTGCAGGATGGACTGAGCACACAGCCATGGTCCATCACAGACCTAGACTGCCAGAAGTCATCCAAGATGCAGTATTTTGATTTTAAGTGTCCCAAGCTATTCGAGTTTCTAACAGTAGGTCTTCTTTTCATCACTGCTCGAAGCAGCTTTGGCATCCACAGAGGCCTGCTTGATGACAAGGTGAAAACTGCTGACCCTAGAGTTAGTAGGTCAGGCTGGAAAACAAGGAGAAGAGGAGCGCACTCTGACTAGTAGGTGTGCATCATGCTCACCAGCAAATTCACCTGCAAAACACCCAAAAAGCTCACAGCAGTTTTGATATAATTTATTTGTCTTGGTCTTTTTTCTTCTTGCATAGGCATAAATTACAATCTGTTGATTAAAAAATAAAATGAGGAAAACAGTGCAGCATTTGCAACAGGCTACAGCATCAAATACCAACTTGTCTCCTGCCTGTAACCATCTGTTTCTGCAGGGCTAATTCAGAACATGGGTGTAGGGCAAATCAAGGAGGAAGAACAGAGGAGGGAAATGGAGTAAATAAGGGAAGTCTGCTCTGACAGCTCTTTCGCATTTCTCCTGCCTCACCAGGCTCATCTTCTGCATCAGCAATAGGATTAAATACCCCTGGGCAGAGAGGCAGTTGTATGGATGTGCTCTCTTTTCCATCGCAGCTTGGGAAAGCACTACAGAAACACTGCAAGCTGCAGTTGGTAGAGGTGCTCAGGATGCAGCCCCAGCACTACTGCAGAATTTAGGGGCTGAAAAACAGCTTCTAACTTTAGCATGCTTTTCTGGGGATCCTCCTGCGTTTGTAAGAGCACAACTCTGTGCATGCAGGGCACCCACGAACATGACTTCAAGGCAAGCTGGCAGCTGTAGACAAGTTTAAAATAACTTTGGCTGCAGATGCCAAGAATTAAGACTATGCTCAATAAAGGAGAGAATGTATCGTCACTGGATCCGGCTGTGGGTCTGCTTTCTCCCGGCAGCAAGGCCTCCCAGCTCTGCAGAAGGGGCTCCACGGGGTAATTTAAACCTGTTGGGAGGTGGGGGCTGCACCCTTTGGGCTCACTTCCCTTGCTTGGAGCAAGGAGACCCCTGCAAGAAGGGACAGGCTGCCATCAGGCTCATCCCCTCGTGCTGGCACGGAGGGGCTCAGGGCTCAGCGCCTCTGCCCAATAAACATCAGGGCGTGCTGAAAGGAGACGCTTCTTCAGCCCCTTCCCCCTCCTCTACACACCTTGCCCTACAGCGCTTCAAGCAGAGACCAGAGCAGGAATCAGTTCATGGTGCTCCTCCAGTGCTCACTGTGTTGGGGGAAGGTGATGCCAGCATCGGACAAGGCTGACACACTAAACACGAGCCCTTCAGCTTTTCTTTCAACAAAACGCAAGACAAACGTGGAGGTTATAAACACCGTCCAAGAACATAAGCCAAACTAAGCGTGCTGCAGGCAGCCAGGAGGTGGAGCGGCCAGATGGCCCTGACACTCCTCAGCCTGGGGAATCATGGAATGCTTTGGGTTGGAAAGGACCTTAAAGATCATCTAGTTCCAACCCCCCTGCCACAGGCAGGGACACCTTCCACTAGATCAGGTTGCTCAAAGCCTCATCCAACCTGGCCTTGAACACTTCCAGGGATGGGGCATCCACAACATCTCTAGAAAACCTGTTCCAGTGTTTCACCACCCTCAATGTGAAAAATTTCTTCCTTGCATCTAATTGAAATCTCCCCTCTTTCAGTGTAAAGCCATTGCCCCTCGTTCTATCACTACACACCCTTGTAAAAAGCCCCTCTCCAGCTTTCCTGTAGGCCCCCTTTAAGTACTGGAAGGCTGCAATAAGATCACCCCGGAGCTTTCTCTTCTCCAGGCTGAACATCCCCAACTCTCTCAGTCTGTCTTCATAGGAGAGGTGCTTCAGCCCTTGGATCATCTTCATGGCCCTCCTCTGGACCCGCTCCAGCAGCTCGATATCCTTCTTGTTTTGGGGATCCCAGAGCTGGACGCAGTATTCCAGGTGGGGTCTCAGCAGAGCAGAGTAGAGGGGCAGAATCACGTCCCTCAACCTGCTGGCCACACTTCTTTTGATGCAGCCCAGGATACAGCTGACTTTCTGGGCTGCCAGTGCACATTGCCGGCTCATGTTGAGCTTCTCATCAACCAGCACCCCCAAGTCCTTCTCCTCAGGGCTTCTCTCAATCCCTTCTCCACCCAGCCTGTACTTGTGCTTGGGATTGCCCCAACCTATGTGCAAGACCTTGCACTTGGCCTTGTTGAACGTGTTGAGGTTTGCACAGGTCAACCTCTCCAGCCTGGCAAGGTCTCTCTTGATGGCATCCCTTCCCTCCAGCGTGTTGACCACAGCACACGGCTTGGTGTCATCAAACTCGCTGAGGGTGCACTCGATCCCACTGTCTATGTCACTGACACAGATGTTAAATAGCACTGGTACCAGTACCGACCCCTGAGGAATACCACTTGTCACTGGCCTCCACTCAGACATCGAGCCATTGACTGCAACCATCCAGCCAATTCCTTATCCACCAAGTGATCCATCTGTCAAATCCATGTCTCTCCAATTCAGAGACAAGGATGTCATGTGTGACAGTGTCAAATGCTTTGTCTAGTCCAGGCAGATGATGTTGGTTGCTCTTCCCTTATCCACCAATGCTGTAACCCCATCATAGAAGGCCACCAAATTTGTCAGGCACGATTTACCCTTACTGAAGCCAAGCTGGCTGTCACTAATCACCTCCTTATTTTTCATGCGCCTTATGGCACATGAGGTCCCCATGCATGCTTCCTGCAGTCCCCTGCCCCAACTCTTCCCCCATCACATGATGGGTACAGACAGGATTTATGTGCCCACTGCAGGCAGGACTGCCTGGCCTGGTCCTCTGCAGCCAGGGCTCAGGGAGCTGAGCGATGCCAATGAGGAGATGGCGGGAGGGAAAGGGAGCCCTTCCAAGAGAAAAGTCAGCTCATGCCAGCCACCTTCCGTCATGGACCAGGAGGTGACGGAGACAGCCCTGAGCACTGCATCCTCCAAGGTGAAGCAGTGTGCTGGCACCCCCAACCCCTGGGGAAAGTGGTCTCCTCTCTGCCCTGTCTCCCGCCCAAGAGACCACTGAGGCACAGAGAGCCACGCAGACCACCATGCAGCAGCTCCCGCTCACTGCGAACAATTGCCTATATACAGACACAGCCACGAGTGAAAGGCCACAGCCTCGCATTGCAGTCTCTGAGGACATCTCCACAGCAAGGAGGGCAGGAGTGCCTCCAGCACCCCACAAAGCAGCAGTCCACAGAGGACCTTGTCTCCCAGGTCCAGCTACCAAGCCACTGATGACCCTTATTTTAAACAGCTCTGCTCATCTTATTCTAGCTTATCCTACTGCACACGCTATTCTCCTACTAAACAAAGCTCTAGCTCTCTCCACATCTAAGCCGCTGGCTCAAGTGGAACCACGTAGCATTCTCTGGTTAAGTAAAAATTGCATGGAAAAAATATTTTTTCCTTTGTTATTACAAAAAAAAAAAAAATCCCAACACTCCAACTGGAAAATTCCCCCCTCCCCGTCCTCCTTAAAAAAAAAAAAAAATAAAATCATAGAACAAACCCAAAAGGGGAAGCAGGTGACAGGAGTTTTCAATACCAGCCGGGGAGGCCAACGGCATCGCCACCCCCAGCCCCCACCCCAGCCACTAGTGGCAGGAGGGCTCGAGCAGACAGACAGCAGCACCAGGGCAGGCTCCACCACCAACACGTACCAAATTTCTCCCTTCCTGCTGCCCCAAACTGTTAGTTTTATGTTAGTGCTTCATTAACACTGTCTTATTTCTCCTCTGCCAGCCCAATATCGGAGGTCTGGAGGTCTTTACCTAAACCAACACCAAAGCAGGAGAAGCAATCCCGCGCAGAGGGGAGAGACCCAGTGTCCGTGATCGGTGGCTCCCCCCTACTCCAGCAGCACCAAGCCGGTCACGATGCTCCCGTACGCCATATCGCACCCGAGTCCGCGCCAAGCACGTCGCAAAATGACACACCCCTTTCACAAGCCTTGGCAACACTAGGCATGCTGTTAGAGAGGAACAGGGTAAGGGGAATGAGGGGCTGCGCAGACCCGGTAAAAAAACAGCTTAAAAAGTTAAAACATCCGATACGCTCCGAAGACAAGCCAGGCTGCGCTAGAACCCACGTGGAATGCGCTAGAGCCCACGTGGAATGCTCTTGCCTCACCACCCGCTTTGCAGGAGGGAAGGCCTCTCCCCTCAAACACGAGTTCTTCTCCTCCCCAGGGGGGAGCACCTGGATTTTTATGTGCAAAGCAGTGAACTGGACGAATCCCCTCCTGCTGTCAGCCCAGTGGCATCCTCATCCCGCGTGGGAGCCAGCGGTCAGGGAACCAGCTCCCCATGCACGCGGAAGCGGTAGATGCAGGTGTATTCGGGGTGGCCCCAATTGCTCAGCACCCGGAACTCCACCAGTGCGTATGCGCCCACAGCATCACCCTGGGGAGAGGAGGAAGGAATAACCGGAGCCCTTGAGCACTGAGAGACCCCAGGGGCTCCATCTTCTTCTTGGGGTTGAGTGCTCCGAGGGCAAAGCACTTACCTTCAGGTAAAAGGTTTGGATGGGGTCGCCATCGTGGTCGTAGGTGAACTGCCCAAGGAGCACGCCCTCCTCCTCTCTCTCCTCCTTCAAGCCCTATGAGGGAGCAGGGAGGCAGAAAGGGAGAACCAGGGGTGGTCAGAGAGGGAGAACTGGAGGCAATGAGCGCACCCAGAGTGGAAGAAAGAGATGGAGACACAAGCGCGCTTGGCCCCCACTCCTGCTCTTCCAGACCAAAACAAACAAGTGGGGACGGGGACCGGTGGGGAAGGATGGGAGGAAGACTGAGAGTTACACCAACACAATCCCCTCTCCCCCAGTGCCCCTCAAAACCCTTCACAAAGCCCAGTGCTCCCCCTCTCCTTCCCCAGTACTGCTTCTTCCTCCTCTCCAGAATAATACCCACCCCCCAGTCAGGCATGGGGCTTGCTAGTCCCCCCCTCCTGCCCCCTCCCACCATGGCATCCTCCCACTGTTTCCCCCTGCTCCTCCCTCGGGTCCAGTCGAGGGCACTCACATAGACAGCGAAGTCCTTGGTGGCGCTGGGGATGATCCCCTGGGGCGAGAGAGCTTTTGGGATGTGCTCCAGAGTCACGGCCGTGGGGCGGATGACGTTGGAGAGGTGGATGACAGCAAAGCCCTGGGATCCACGAAACGCCCAGCAGTTTCCGGGGTCAACATTCGACTACAAGCACAGGAGCAAGACAAAAGCAAGGTTACTACCATCTCCCAATATCAGCCTGGCCACTTGCTTGGAGTGACAGTGAGAGCCAAGTAAAACCCACCAAGCCCATGTGAGAATCAGCCCATCCTGTCCTCCTCCTCGGCGGGGTCTCACCCAGAGGGTGCCTACCTGCAGGATGGCACGAGGGGACTGCGACTGGTACCACAGGGGGATGCCGAACAAGCTCAGCACCGCTGTATGCGCATCATAGGTCTCTGAGCAGCGGGTGTTGATGATGCTGGCCCCTGCGGTGGGGAGGGGACGGCAGCGGGTAAGCCCCGTGACACCCCTCGCCAGGACAGCTGGTTTGTCCCAGGGAGGGTGAGAGCCCTCCGACACCTACCTGCCGACTCCAGGGCGTAGTCGACCATCCCCACGCGGTCCTCACTGTAGCGCTTCAGAGCTTGACCCACAATGAGACGCACTTGCTGCGGCGGGAGTAGAGGGCACAAGAGGGGTGAAAGGCTGAGGCAGGCATCCTGCCCCCACCCGTCTCCGCCCTGTGGGAATGGAGAGGGCGCAAGGACCTTCCCACAGAACAGCCACGGGATGAATCATCACAGCCAAAACGAGAGGACAGGCATTTGGCTGGGAAGCCTTGTTAGAGGCTGCTAAAAATACCTCCGATAAGAAGTGCTGTGCAATGAAGGGGCAGCACCCAGGCACACTGGGCTCGCCTGTCCCCATCCCAAAGAGCAGGCTGGCCCAAGATCCGTTGGTGGTACCAGACGGAACTCAACAGCCTACCTGGTCCTCCCCAGCATCGTCTACTTGTCCCCTCTACCCCATCCCACGGGATCCCCATCTGGAAAATCTGATGTTGTAGTGGAGGCCAACCAGAGCATCCCTCAGGAGCCAACGCCAGGAGCCAGGTCCCTGCAGCACCACTCCAGGTCTAAACTTCACAGCATGCAGGAAGCCTGCACAGGCTGCGGGCACTGCTAATCCCACTTGATCCCTCCCCTCCGTGGGGAATGGCCAACAACTCTTTCTAAAGCAAGCAGGCTCATTTTTTCCCGTGGTGTCATTCTGCTGAAATGCTTTGCCCCAAATGACCCTACAATGCTGCTGAAGGAGGGAGAAAAGCAAAATGCTCAACCCGCAGGTGCCTTGCTGGCACCTGCCCCACTTCTGGGCAAAAAATGCACAAGCAGAAACTTTAAGACAGCAAGAGCCCCGCAGGCATGTAGATATCATCACCTACAACCCCTTCCAGGACAAGGCATGGGCACAGCCCAGGGGAGGCTGGCAGCATAGAAGGGATGGAGGAGTTTCAGGATGCTCTTGCCAAGTGGGGTGTGAGCCCAGGATTGATATCTCAACTGTAAGGGCTGTCCCCATGGCTCTGCCACTGTGCCAGGCATGGGTGCCAGCCCGCCCTGCACATACGCAATGGGGTACAAGCCCCCGATCCCACACCTGTGGTCACCACCACGTTCCTGGGGCTCAGGCCAGCGCTCACCTCTTCTGTCACCCCCGCAGTCCCCTCTTGCCGTGAGGTCAGTCCAACACCACCCTGAGCACCCTGTGCCAACAGCCTCTGGTTTTCCAAGACTTTGGCCAGGATCTTGTGCTCCAGGGCCTGGAGCTCCGCTTGCAAGTCTTCGTGGCGAAGGAAGAGCCCGTCCTGCCGGGACTGCGACAGGAACCGACTGATCCATACTGGGAACTGCACTCCCATCTGAAACAGTGGGGACAGAGCTCAGGCCAGAGGCAAGGACCCTCGCGCCATACTCTGCAGACCAGGGCGGGGACCAGGGACTCACTTCAGCCTGCACCGCCTTCAGCTGCTCCAGTATCCCCTCCATCTGCTTCCCAATAACTTCCTTGTCCGACTTGAGGCTCGACAGCTCCCTCCTCAGCGCTGCCACCTCCTGCTCCAGCTTGCCTACTTCCTGCTGGAAGCTCTCCCGCAGGCCCTCCTGCGCCAAGCTGTGCCTAGAGGAAAGCAGCAAAACCTTGCGCTGACAGTCCCAGCTCCCCTCTGCGGACACGCGGAGGAGGTTCATCCCCCATCGCCTATGCTCAACCCCATTTCCAGTCCCAAATGGTTTCAATTCCTGTGGCAACAACCTCTTCTACTGCATCCCATGGGAAAGCATCCCCAGCTCGCCACTCAGCTGAAGGGCCACATTCCCCACAGTAATGCAAAACGATGGTGGTGAAGGTCATTTGCCTCAATCACCCCTTGAGCCCTGATGCCACCCAGGATGCTTTCTTGCCAACATACCCACATATCCATCCCTCCTTTCCCCCTCCAAGATTGTACCTTTCACCCTCTCCTTTGCCCTGAGCAAACCAGACCTGGAAACCCCTTCTAAGCCTCGCTGTGGGGACCTCATCCTGTGACCTGCCTGCCCCTAAAAGAGCGGTCGCCAGCCAGTGTTCCCTCTGCCACTCCGAGTTCAGCTCCAGCAAGCGTGCCTCCATCTCCTGCCAGGAGAAGGGGAAGGAGTGAGACTGGTGACGCCAGTGGTGAGGATGTCCTGCCCGAGTACCCTTGCATGCTCGTCCCCTTACCTGAGACGCTTGTGTCATCTTCTCCAGGCGCCCATCTAAATCCCTTTGCACCTGGGCTCGGAGGGCATCCAGCTCGCCCTGCAGGGTGAGGGAACATCAGAGCCCAGCCCTGTGTGCCCCCATCTCCCCACGTGCCCCCTGTGCCCATCACCTGGAGGTGGCTGGTAGTGTCCGTGCGGAGATGCTC